AAAAAAAAAAAAAAAAGAAAAAAAAAAAAAAAAAAAAGAGTGAATGAGGAGGTTACTCTCCACTGTCTCTGGTCCGCCATTTTCTGCAATGTGAGACCACTGTGTCACCGTCACCACCAAGACCCTCACCAGATGTATTCCCTGCACTGTGAACTTCCCAGCCTCCAAAACTGTAAACGATAAATCTCATTTTCTTTATAAATCACCCAGTTTCAGGTATTTTGTTATAAGCAACAGAAACGGACTAATACATGTCCACACAACAACCTGTACACAAATGCTCACAGCAGCATTATTCATAATAGCCAAAAACCTGAAAACAGCTCAAATATCCAACAAATGATGGATGGATAAATAAAACAGAGTAGCATACATAAAATGAAATACTATTTGAAAATAAAAAGGAATGAAGAACTGATACATGCTACAACATGGATGAATTCTGAAAACATTATGCTCAGTGAAAGAAGTCAGTCATGAAAGGCCACTTATTGTATGATTCCATTTACGTGAAATGTCCAGAATAGGAAAGAATCTGTAGAGACATTCTATCTCAATAGAGCTGTTTAAACTTTTTTACAATAACCACCCATCTTACAATGCCTGCTTCCTTTATAAAACTTTATCTAGCTTCTCTTCATTAAGTTAGTTGTTATCTCAGGTTATAGTTAATATTGCCTTCCTGAATTCCTGCAGTTGTAATTTACATCTCTAATCACCACTTACTTCTTTCTGCAATTTGATGTAGTATTTAAAGGGTTCTGAAAGCAAATTACTGGAGTTTAAGTCCTCACTCTAAAACTTGCTAGGTATACAACCTAGTGCAAGGTACATAATCTCTTTGTGCCTTAGTTTCCTCATCCATAGGACAGGGAAAACAGGAGTACCTTTGTTAAGAATTTTGCGTGGATAAGTGAGTTAATACACATAGAATGCCAAGAACAGTGCCTGGTACATTGTACAGGCCAGATATGTAAGTGTTAGCTATTATTGTTGCATTATAGTTAACTCGGTATGTCTATATGTCTGCCTCTTTGCTCTCTCCCAGTTTGTATTTTCCCAGTTCTCTCCCAGGTTCTAAGGGGATGCAATAATGCCTTGTTCTATTATCCATTCTTGTATTCCCCAAAGAGGAAAATTACTGCAGACTGGCATGAGGAGAGGAGCAAAGGAGCCATGGCTCCAACACAAGGGATACCTGAATTCATCAGGGCCACACACAGTAACAGTTGGGCAAATTTAAACACAGAGTCTATTGGTAGAAAAGAAGGCCAGGAAATAGCGTACCAGAAAGTGTTCCTTAAAATCTTCTACTTCCACAAAAGGATTTATACCTTCCCAAGTGCACAGGAGTACCAAATATGTTAAGGAATCAATGTATGTGTCCAAATTTTCACACTTCACCCACATTTATCAAAATTCCTCCATATGTTTCATTTATTCTTCATTCTTACCAACTGCCAGTTATGCACAAGGCACCACGTGCTAGAGTCTGGAAATGCACAATCTTGTTTTTCCAGGCAGATTTCCTTCCCACAGTACTGGCAAAAGAGATTCAAGGTGTCTGCCTCTAAATAAATATGTATACTGTTTACTCAAATATAAATCACAAATCCTTTATAAAAAGTTATTCAAAAGGTAGTGAATTTATATCATTTCTTTTAACTATGTGCATTTGCCAATTAATGTAACTGACCTAAAAAGAACACTAGATTGCATCTGGCATAAGCTGATGGAAAAAAGCTAAAAACAGTGCCTATTAGAAAAAAGAAAAATTTTCATAGATCAATGTAGTACTTGTAGAAGCAAATTTCTAGCATATAGGTTATTTATTAGAACCTAAAATATAATATTACATCTTAAATACAGCATTATAATGCATATCAATTATGGAAGCAAGGTATCTCTTTTTCCTCTGTATTTTATACAGACACTCTTCCGTGAGATTAAATTAAAATATTCCATTCCAAATTTTGTGATCACACACACAAAATTCTGAGGACTCTAAAATTCTTACATATGAGCATAATAATCATTAGTGCCATGTAAAAGTGCTATTAGCAACAAAATATTTTAAGCTAACCCAAACAACTTAAGGATAGAAGAAACCCAAAGTGCTTGAATTCTGTTTTAAATCAGATAATTTAGAAGCTGTCAGTCTCATCTGTCAAGGCTTTTGTAGCCATCTTAATCTCATGACTCCCCCCTCTTCATTATCCCTCATATGGAACTTTCAGTTCTTCTCATAACCCCGATACTGTCATTGTTTTTATTGCTAACAATATTTATAGAGTCAGCCTGTCTTTATTTTCTTTCTTTTTTTTTTTTTAAAAGATGACCAAGGGCCGGCCCGGTGGCGCACTGGATAGTGCGCCGCTTGGGAAGTGCGGCGGCGCTCCCGCCCAAGGGTTCGGATCCCACATACAGACCGGTTCCCGCTCACTGGCTGAGCGAGGCGCGGGAGCAACACCGAGGGTTGCGATCCCGTTGCCGGTCCCTGGTCCGGTACGGGCGCGACACTGAGGGTTGCAATCCGATGCCAGACACGGAAAAAGACAAAAGACAAAAGACAAAAAAAAAAAAAAAAAAAAGATGACCAATAAGGGGATCTTAACCCTTGACTTGGTGTTGTCAGCACCACGCTCACCCAGTGAGCAAACCGGCCATCCCTATATGGGATCCGAACCCATGGCCTTGGTGTTATCAGCACCGCACTCTACTGAGTGAGCCACGGGCCGGCCCCAGCCTGTCTTTATTTTCAAATGAACAAAAGCTGTGCTTTAAAAATCCACCCTGTTCAGTAATTACTTCTTTAGGCATTCCACATTAATGTTTATACCTCAAACTCAAGATGGCCACTAATAAAATAGAAGGAAACAATATATATATATTTTTTTTAAAGATGACCGGTAAGGGGATCTCAACCCTTGACTTGGTGTTGTCAGCACCACGCTCAGCCAGTGAGTGAACCGGCCATCCCTATATGGGATCCGAACCCGTGGCCTTGGTGTTATCAGCACCACACTCTCCCGAGTGAGCCACAGGCCGGCCCGGAAACAATATTTTATTCTTGGTCCACAACAGATATTAAATAAATATTTGCTGAGTAAATGAACCTACCAAAGAATGCATCTCTCTACAAACGCAGGTAGAGGTACAAAATAATCCCGTGCAACCTAGATGTAATGTAGGATATTTTTTATAGTAGTTTTTATTACTGAATAATTATGGATTTGGTGGCAACAAGAAGCTGCCGAGATGAAAATAAAGTAAAAAAGCTGTTCTTCATAGTTTCTGGACTATTTTCAACATCCTGGATACAACTGGGATTTTAGGGGAAATGACAAAGCGGGATCATCTGTTCATCTAATGAAGTATAGTCTGGAACATATGGAAGCCAAAATGAGATAAATAAAGCTAATTTATTACTGGACCAGGGTCAATAGGTACTGCATGCAATTTATCCCTACTTCCAAAGTAGGTGCTGGGATAGTTCTAATTTCAGTAAGTGAAGAAAAGACCTAGGACCCTGGTTCCCAAACTTTGCTGTACATTGGAATCACTTGTTTAAGCAAGTATGCTTAAAAAACATACTGGCTCCCAGCCCCAACATTCTGATTTACCCGACATTGGGTACAATCTGGGCACTGGGAGTTTTTAAAGCTCCAAGGGTGAGTCCATTGTGCAGCAACTCTGGGAACCAGTGCCCTACATTATTAAAATACATGACTTTCAACTACTTACACCTGAGGTCTGAGAATCTTCAGCTGAGTGAGGATGTCCTTCTGAACCCTGGGATTAGCTGTGGCGGTAAGAGCCATCACTGGAACAGAAGGAAACTTCTGGCGAAGCATATTCATTCGTTTATAATCTTGACGAAAATCATGTCCCCACTAGTTGGAAAAAAATACTGCTTTTCAGACTATTCGGATCTTCTTTATATGGAAAGCCAACACTGGTCAATATATTAAGAACTACCTTATTCTTCAGTGAAATAGAATAGTTCACTCAATGTGGGTTTTCCTTCAGTTGTGAAAATATATATACTATTGTTAGTATACATTTATTGATATTTCAAGACATAAATAACAGTATTTACCTGACTGACACAATGTGCTTCATCAATAACAAAACGTGCCAAGAGCTTCCTCTCATACAGATTCTCCAGAGTAGAAATCAGCCTGTTACTTGCACAGACCTAGACCAGAAATACATTAGACATTTAAAGACATTTAAACACATCACTTAATGATTTTGTTGTCTTTAAGTTCCATTACAACTAAAGCAGTATTAAAACCTCCATGTAGGGCCGGCCTGTGGCTCACTCGGTAGAGTGCGGTGCTGATAACACCAAGGCCACGGGTTCGGATCCCATATAGGGATGGCCGGTTTGCTCACTGGCTGAGCGTGGTGCTGACAACACCAAGCCAAGGGTTGAGATCCCCTTACCGGTCATCTTTAAAAAGAAAAAAAAAAACAAAAAACAAAAAAACCTCCATGTAAAATTGGCTCTTATTTCAATCTATGAACAGAGAATAGCAGAAGAGAAAATAGCAAATTAGACATTTTAGAATGTGCTCCTGCATTCATCAAACAGTTTACTTATTAGGTAAGTGGTTCTAAGATTTTTTTCTGCCTCAATACATCAGAAGGCCACCACAAATTTACATTGGTAACAGGTTACAGATGTATGTTGTGTGTGCATGTTGTTTGGGGGAAAAAAACCCACACACACAACACACATGAAGGTACTTCAAAATGTTCATGGAAAGGGCCGGCCCGGTGGCGCACTGGATAGTGCGCCGCTTGGGAAGCGCGGCGGCGCTCCCGCCCGAGGGTTCGGATCACACGCACCCAAAAAAAGCTAGTAGGGAAACTTGCCAGAATTTGAACCCAGATCTGCCAAAACTCCAAAGTCAGACCATAATTGTGTCTCCCAGTGTGTAAATATCTATCAAATACTTTGTGCACATGTGTGAACATGCCAAACTTTGAATGATTTAAGTATAACCTGTATTTTAATACTTAGGACAGCATCATAAAATTAATTTCTAAATGAATATGTATTTTTCCATAAATTTCTGAAGTACCCTCATATGTGTTAGCTGTGTGCATGTTGTTTGGGGGAAAAAATCACACATACGCACAAACACACACACATTTCATAGCTCTGTCCATGACAGGTCCTAGAAGTAGTGACATTCCAGTAGCAACAAGCATGTCTAGAACCCAATCTTGACAGCGACGTGTCAAAAGGACTCAGAAGCCAGCCCAGCCCGATGGAGCTCTCCTGGTCAAATCCAGGACAATCAGAACATTGAAATACATAATGATAATTGATTGTAACCCACTGAAAAAGAATCCATGAGTTCATACTGATATAAACAAATATGTGGGATAAAGGGAAAGTTCTTCATTATCATAGAATGCCAACTAAATTAGAAAAATCATAATTTGGCATCCATCAAATAATAGATTTGGGGAAGAACCATCAATGGATGCTAAAACTTATGGGTAAAAGTCTGATGATTTACGGATATTTATGTATTCTCAAAATATCCCGATAGGATATATATTAATTACAAAGGCAAAACAAACAAACAAACAAACAAACCAAAAAAACAACCAGAAAAACAAAAGAGTAACTTTACAGTGGAGAGGTCTGGCAGACACTACTTTAACCAAGTGATCAGCTGACTAACATTATCAGTAATGGAGTGAGTTGACATCAAGTGCCTCCTGACAGGAAGCATGAGAGCATATCATCACTTCTGTGATATTCACGTCAAAATGAATAACATGAATCTAATCAGGAGGAAACATAAGATAAACCCAAATTGAGGGGTCATTGTCAAAACTGTCCTTCAAAAATGACAAAGTATAAAAGACAAAAGAGCGAAAAACTGTTTAGATGAAAGAAGATTTACGTTAAGGGAAACGACAACTGAATGCAATGCATGATCTGGGATTTTCTTTTGTTATAAAGGACATTATTGGGACAATTAGTGAAACTGGAATAAGGTATACAAATTAAGTAATAGTATTGTATCAATGTACGTTTCCTAATTTTGATAACTGACTAAGGTTATGTAAGAGAATTCCTTGTTTTTAGGATACACATAGTAAAGTATTTAGGGTTAAAAAGGTATCAGTCTGCAACTCACTCTCAATCAAGTGTTTCATGAAAAAAATAGAGAAATAATGATAAAGTAATTATAGCAAAATGTTACATTTAGGGTTTCTGAGTAAAAGTTATACAGGAATTTTTGTACTATATTGTACATTAAAAATTCTCAACATTTAAAAAATATATGCTGATAACACCAAGGTCAAGGGTATATACACATACACACATGTATATATGTATTCTAGTAGCCTTTAATATCATATTTTAAAATAATGATAAAATACAAACCTTCTCTGGAGTAACATACAGAAGTTTTATAATTGGGTCTTTTTTTGATAATTGGAGGTAAATACTTGTAGCTTCTGAATCAGTCTTATCACCTGTCAGATATGTAGCTGGAATCTAAGTATAATAGTGAACAATTTAAATTTTACACATTAATCTGATTTAAGATTACATTTATCCTTAGATTTTACAAATATAAGTCACATATCAAACTTGTCAAAGGAAAAACAGTACATTTTTTTAAAAAGCATAACTTAAAATAGTCTTCCCATTGCTAACTTCCTTTTCTTTACTTGCTTTGCTTTTCATATCTGTAAATAAGATAAACATGAATTTAGCATCCCAGTGATTCTTGTCCTAATGTATGGCTACTTTTTTAAGGAAGTGTATCTTCAGAGTTTTAATGCATAATGGCAATAAAAGCAAAGTGCCATAACATCACGAATGACTGAACAATGGCTACCGTCAACACACTAAGATATTCTTTGGAAGAAAAATCAAACCAGTGGTCTTGTTGTGGGGTGGTGACTCATAATCCTGAAAACAGTTCTGTTTGATCACAACATGAAGAATTTAGTAGAATACATTCATATACTTCCTTACACTCAGCTATGATGAAAAAAGACGTGTGTGAGTATGTGTATGTGTATACATTTTAAGATATAAGGGAAAGAGAACTATGCTGATCTGGCAGTAATAAAAAAATCCTTTTATATTAGTAAAAAAAATTTACATCAGTAAAATACAGGTTAAAAGTTCTTACTAAAATACATTCTTGTAAAATAAAATTAGATCAAACTATATGAGGTTATCTGTATCAGAATTTTCAAAGATTTGTGCTCATTATAAACTTAATTTAACTGCTATGCTTTATTCTTATAATTCATGCATGTTTTCATTAATATTTCTATGTTATAACTTACATCCAAGGAAGTCAGCTTTTGGACTTGATCTACTATTAGTGATCTCAAGGGAGAAATGACAACAGTGACTCCAGGGGAAACACAGGCGGGTAGCTGGTAACACAAACTTTTCCCACCTCCTGAAAGAGAAAAAAATGAAAAACAAAAACAAAAACAAAAAAACCCGGTTAGATTCTATGTTGAGAGCATGGACGTAAAAGTTACAAAGGAAACCACATACAATATTTAAAATTAATTAATAGGACACAAAGCGATACTGCCCATGGTGTCAATAATTTGCCATACTTGAATGAGCCAAACTATTTAGGCAATTTAAATAATGTGTAAAAACAATCTTTTAGGACATCTTATATAGACACAAGAGCAAAAGCAAGAATCAGGGCAGGAAAGTTAAATGCAATGGAATTGCTCACAGTCTGCTTGGTAAACCCGAATACAGTAAACTTTTTATTTTTGGCAGTACAAGGGGTCTAAAACTAATGATACTAGTATTAAAACAACTACATTCCATATAATATTTATTTTTTTAAAGAGTAATAAAATATAGAACACTAAAAATGATAGAGAACATGGTTTACTATTTATCTGATGATGCAGAAGGCACTTTTAGGATCTCAATTTTTTAAAACTGTTTGAGCCTCTTTTTTTGGCATTGGCAAGTACAGGGAATGAACCTGTGACCTTGGTGTTATCAGCATCACACTCTAACCAACTGAGCTAACTGGCCAGCCAAGTATGAGCCTCTTAACACAGAATTGAGCTTTAACTCTTATCAGTAAGAAACTAACTTCCAATTTTCTTTGGGATGGGTAGAACTAAATTTTGTGTACTAACAGACGATAAAGAAATTACAAAAGACCAAAAAAAAAATCTCTCCCCATGTAACTCTAATTCAAAATGAAAAGAAAATCAGTACACATTTCATGATGAAGTGATTATTCCCTAATTTTCAATTTCTCCCATCTACTGATGGTAAAAGCTGATGCCAAGCAGTTTTTAGGGCTTCAATCTGTTTTTTTAGACTATACATCACATTCCTTCCTTTTTGTATGTGTAGTAAGTAAATTTCATTTTGGTATATATGTGGAAATGTCAAGGAAAGAGCAGGACACTTAGAATGAAGAGACCTGAATTCTAGTTTCTATTTTACCACTTAATCAGCTATGTGAACTTAGACATGCCATTAAACCTTCATACCTCAATTTTATCACCTGAAAAATGTACTAGATCCATGGTTTAAAAAAATTTTTTTTTGTCTGAAAGAAACCTTGTGTGTGTGTGTGTGTGTGTGTGTGTGTGTGTGTGTGTGTGTGTGTGTGTGTGTATATATATAAATCAAGAGCTTAAAATTGGGGTGGAAAGAACCTTAAAAATGCCCTTGAAACCCTAAAGGATCATGGAAGTCCTGAAAAAAATCACTCGGTTAGATCACTGCCAAATTCCTTCCCAGTGTTAAAGTTTTGGAGTACCAAATTAGAGTCTAAATGGAAGACACAGAGTGATCAACAAGTTAATAAAATTTGAAATGCTAATTATTGAACCAACGTCATCTAAATTTTAAGATCAATTCAGAAACTTTCAGATGCCCAGTCAGCATTATTTAATAAAGATGGCAATAACTAACTTGCCAAAGGTCACAACAAGGCAAGTAAAAGGAAGCAGGAAAAAAAAAATGCAGAGGGAGAACTATACATAGGTATAAAAACTCCAAATTCTCCATGCATCCTTTCTTAATTGCTTATTCAATATTCTTACATGAATGACTATAAATCATTGAACAGCTGTTATAAGTTTTAGTAGCACAATGAAAAGTCCCAGACTATTCAAAATTAGGGCCAAGAAAGAATACGTTAAATGCTTTTCATTTAATCCCCAAGACGCCTTGTGAAGCAGGTACTTTATTATTATCCCCATTGCACACATGAAGAAACGGGTCCAGGGAGTGAAGTGCCTTGCCTATGCTCACACCACTTGCAAGTGCAGGCCATCACTCCAGAGCTGATGATTTTAACCACCATGCAACATTAGACTGTATCAAATAAACTGCCAGAAATGGTCATGGTCTCTGACAGTGATTTTTTGTTCACTTTCCAGATTTATTTAGACTAGAAAAATGAAAAATTCCCAAAGATAAATTCTAAATCAATTTAACACAATGAGTTGAAATCTTAAAGGGCTATAAACTTTATGATGTCGACAACTAGAACAGAGGATATGAGGTAATATACTTTTTCACTACAGCATGGGAAGTTTAAGAGGTCCCTAAATGACAGAAATACTGTGTAGGTGTTCCTTTTATTTCTATTAAAGGGCTTTCATTTAACATCTGCCAGTGGATTCCTGCCAATTCATATCTAAAAATACATACCAGTGGGCATTAGGATAAAACAGTCTTCACCAAGCAGTGCAGCATTGATCGCCTCTAGCTGATTAGTTCTAAAATTATGCAGGCCAAATTTTTTATGAAATATCTTCATCATTTCTTTTGTGTGAGGAAAATCAAGACTTTGGAAACATTCATGTTTCAGATTTCTGGATGCTAGATTTTGCGCCGATTTGTCTAAGAAAATGATCAACATTAAGAAAAATCAGTGCACGGAGGTAACAAGTCAGTTTTAGCATTTATCCTTCACCCCGCAGAATCACTGGCATACGTTTCCCTATAGCATATGTCTTTCACCATTTACCGGGGTTTCCTTCCCAACAAACCTCAAAAGCCATCAGAGACTTCCCAAGGGCTCAAGTCTTTCCTTGACTTTTCTGCAGCACCTTACCACTGCCATTCACTCTCTCCATCCTCTTCTCCCTTGACCTCCTAGACAATCATGGGGTTTCAATTCACTACAAATTCCCTTTCTTGGCTCCACTTCCTCTACCTGCCCCTTAAAACTGGGAGTCCATCAGATACTTGGGACTGGGCTCTTTTTTTGTAATTTTCCTAGCCCTGTGATCTTAAACATAGCCTACATGCAGAGAATGCCTAGATCTCTCTTGAGACCAGAATGACACCCTCTTAAGTTCCATCCTACACGCATCTCCAACTGTCTGCAAGTCATTTCTACCTAATTGACTTACCAACATTTTAAGCTCGTCTTAAAATAGTCCTCCTCAGTTTTTCTCCAAAGTTGACTCTGCCTCCTGACTCCCCTATTTCTGTTAATAGTGTCACAGTTTTCCCAGTCACCCAGGTCTGAAACCTCAGCTTCCTCACATTCTTCTTTCATAACAGATCTCACGTCCTCCCCTGCTCTGCATCCTTTCTGTCGCAACTCTGGTTCACCACAGAGAACAAGAGGTACTTAGGCCAGCTCTGGCAGTTACCCTAACCTCAACAGTCAACTGTCTCAAAGATAATTGTGAACATCAAGTATGACACGTTCTAACATGATACAAAAATAAATCCATTAATGGTTACTTTAAAGGTCAACATCATAACTGTAAGAACAACCTCCATGGTATTAAGTCATCAATGGCAAAAATAGGGAAGGCTGTACTTTATAAAACCTTGCACATAAAAACTTGTTTCAGTTAAAATATACTTTTGATAAATTTATAGGGTTGATATAAAGTTTTAAAAATAATTTTGGCGGGCTGGCCCGGTGTTGCACTGGAGAAGTGCTCCGGTTGGGAGCGCGCTGGCGCTCCCGCCGAGGGATCGGATCCCATGTGGAGACCAGTTCCCGCTCACTGGCTGAGCGCAGTGCGGGCGCAACACCGAGGGTTGCGATCCCATTGCCGGTCCCCGGTACGGGCACGACACCGAGGGTTGCAATCCCGTTACCGGTCAGTAAAAAAGACAAAAAGGAAAAAAAAAAAATAATTTTGGCTTTTTTCTGGCACCTTTACAATGGCTAATTTCACTCTAAGAACTTCTCTCTCACTAAACTGTGAGCTCCAAGAGGGCAGGAACCAGTTGTTATCACTGCATTACCACAACCCAGCACAGTTCACGGCACATAGAGAGCACTAGGCCCAAAGAAATAACTGGATTGATTTTTAAATTTTCTGACTATGTATTGTCCTTAGATTGCCCTATATTTTCAAATTTTAAGACACAAATGTTTCTCTACTTTATAAATTAACCAATTCTCACCCATCCAGAATTCTAAAAATACACATATTTTTAGCATATAAATTCATCTTTGCTTTTGCCCATCCCCCAAAATCATTAAAAACTTGGCCCTCAGGAGCTTTATTGTTTTAAGGACTAAGAAATATTAATTTAAAGGCAAAGCACATTTGTAATGACTTTAGAGCTTTACTACAATAGGTTATAATTACACATTTTATAAAACTACAGCTGCTACAGAGACAAAAGAGCAACTTGCTTTTGAAATTGTGATTTGTAATTCATATTATCAGTGAAAATTTGCATAGAAACAATGCTGTTTTCAGGCAATGATGACTTGCTATGGTTTTTATTATGCAATTCCTATTTTGGACTGTTTTGTTTTCATATAATATCTAAGCATTCAATTTATTTTAAACTTACCAGTGTAATCCTGAATTGACTTTAAGAAGTTTTTATTCTGAGCAGTAGATATGGTTTTGAAGGCTTTAAAAGAAGAGAGAGGAGAGTCTCTCTCTCTCTCTCTGTTCTCTCTACTTCCACCATCTCGCAATGTGAGACCCCTGGGTCACTGTTACCACCACCAGATTCAGAAACTGGAAGCAATAAATTTCATTTTCTTTATAAATCAACCAGTTTCAAGTATTTTGTTATAAGCAACAGAAACAGACTAACAACAAATATTATAAACAACCGTATATTGTCCTATTATCTGCCTGTGAATTAACTTGAAATCAGATTGTCTCTATTCTATACCATGAGAGAACATACCTGTGTTTTCATTTAATTTCATGATAACTAAATAATATTTCCCTTAGGATAACCAAGGGCGTTGGAAGGCACAAAGTTTTATCAATTTACTATGATGTTTTGCTAACTCCATGTGTAAATCTCACCATGCCAGCACAAAGTATATCTTTAAGGGTTGGACAGGCAAGAGCCCACCTCTTGTTTTGCCCTGCCTGACATCCACGCTTCTCTTTAATGATAACAGCACAGTATCTAGATTTTCTTTTTAGAGAACTCCCACCAACCCTCACTCCTCAGTGGGCATCTGATATAAGGCAGCCCAGTGGGAATTAGGACTGGGGGGGTTTTAGACTGACTGGAAAACAGTACCTCTCTTTCACAAGCTTGATAGGCTGCTGGTGGACATCTTTGCTACCACACAAGGAAAGACCACTTGAGAATAAGACCAATGCAATGGAAAGCAGAAAGCAGATAAAAAGGAATATGGGTTTGAGATGCAGAGATGGGGCAGAAGACAGGAGAGAGAAGGCAAATGTGTGAGAGAAAAATCCTGATGACATATTTGGACATCTGAATCCTGCCAGCCCACTTCATATATTTTTGATTAAGACTTATGACTAAGAAATAGAATTTCGAAGGAGGTGAGATTTTTGGATAAAGGAAAGAAAAAAATGGTTTAGGGTAAAAATGGGAAGAAAGAAAGAGGTCTGCTTCACTTCTAGGGCCTAAGGCAAATGGGAGACAAAACCAGTTTAGTTTGGCCGCAAGGGAGACAGTATTCCAGGAGACAATGAGAGAAAGAAGGGGAAGAAAATGTTCTGAAGAACAGGAGACTGCGGGGCCGGCCTGGTGGCGCACTGCTACAGTGTGCCGCTTGGGAAGCGCGGCAGGCGGCTCCCACCGAGGGTTCGGATCCCACATACAGACCGGTTCCCGCTCACTGGCTGAGCGAGGCGTGGGAGCAACACTGAGGGTTACGATCCCATTGCCGGTCCCGGTCCGGTACGGGCGCGACACTGAGGGTTGCGATCCGTTGCCGGACACGAAAAAAGACGAAAAAAAAAAAAAAAAGGAGACTGCAAGAGTGTTGCTGACTGAGAAGAGCCAGTTGAAGGTTTTAAAAGGCAGGAAGGAGAGGAAGAGAGGACAGAACAGAGGGTCTGTACACAGAGCAGCATGGGGACAAGCACATACGTGAGAATGACCTGGGAAATTTGGACTTCTACTGGTGACTGAGGGAAATAGGGACGTGAGGTATGAGATGGTAAGAGTGAAATTGCTGAATTCCTATTTTACTTCTGTTTTCTCTGCAAGGAGAATCGGCGTCAGATTGGAGAGAGGAGAATGCACAATGGTCTGAAGGAACTGAAAGCCAGGACAGGCTCAGAGAAAGATACCAGAGTACCTAGCTACTAGAAAGGAGCTCAAGTCTCCTTGTCCAGACAGATTACACCTCAGAATACAAAGGAAACCTGCAAACAAGACCTCTGAGCCCCTGTCGCTGATACGTGAGGCATTAGTGAATAAGAGATTTGTTGGAAAGTGAAGACAGACAAACACTGTTCTCATTTTCAAAAAACTTTTAAAGTGATTGCCAAAAGCTACAGGCTGGTGATCTTGATGTCAATTCAAGGCAAAATTCTAGAACATGTTATCAAATGACTGCTTTGTGTGCTCTAAGGAGAGGGAACAATTAGAGAGTTAGCAAGAGCTCAAAAAAATAATCCAGCCATCTTAATGTATTTCCTTCTTTGAAAGGATTACCACACTGGCAGATAATAGCTACCATTAAAGGAAAAAAAAAGGGCTGGCCCGGTGGCGCACTGGAGAGTGCGCCGCTTGGGAGCGCGGAGGGTTCGGATCCCATGTGGAGACCGGTTCCCACTCACTGGCTGAGCGCGGTGTGGGCGCAACACTGAGGGTTGCGATCCTGTTGCCGCCCCCGGTACGGGCGCGACACCAAGGGTTGCGATCCCGTTACCGGTCAGTAAAAAAGACAAAAAGGAAAAAAAAAAAAAAAAACAACCCTAAAAAAACCCCCCAAAACCCAATAACAGCTACCATTTATTGAAAGCCTACAGCATACTAGGTACTTTACCTTGAATCCTTACAACTACTCAGCAAGGTAGATACTGTATTATTCTCATTTTATAGAAGAAAAAACAGGTCCAGAGAAGTTTAACTAATCTACCATAGTCACACAGCCAGGAGTAGGAGGAGACAGGTTTCTATCACAGTTCTGCATCACAGTTCTGCATCATTCTAGAGCCAACGCCCCATCTATTCCCTCTTGTTTCCTCAGACCTTGAACTTTTCGGAGTCATATGAGCAGGTCTTTTGCATCCCCATGGATAAGGGAGAGAAATGTGGTCTGAAGGTAGATTTGTAACTAGTTGAACAAGAAGTGGTGATGAATAGAAGTGAAGCCAGCCGAGAGTGAGGCCTCTAATGACATTCTGTCCTTGTCCTGATATAGACAGTATGGTACAGTGGTTATCAATGTGAACTCAAGAGCCTCAACACTGCTGTGTTTGAATCCTAGCTCTCCTGCTGTCTAATTCTATGACTGTAAGTATTTACCATTCCTGTACCTTAATTTCCTTATTGGTAAAATGGGGATAATGGAAACTACCTTAAAGGGCTGCTGTGAGGATTAAATTAGTTAATACTGTAAATAAGGCACTTGGAAGAGTGCCTAGGACATTGGACAGTTCAGGAATATCTCTAACAATAAATTCACAGACCAAAATAAAAAAGAAATTCACAGGAAACAAAAACAACACACAGAAAACTATATACACATGTGCACATGCACACACACTACAAAAGTAGTACAGCATCCATCAAACAAGAATAGAATGCGTTACAGAAATATTCAGAGAAAAAAGAGCTCTTGGAAACTGATTTGATAAAAACAAAAAATTCCATGGAAAAGTTAAAGATAAAATTGAGGAAATATCCTAAAAAGTAGAAAAGTAAGAGATGGAAAATAGGAAAGATAATTAATAGAGGTCTATCATCCAAAAACTGAAGTTCCAGGAAGAGTGAAAGAGAAAAAAGAAAAAAGAAAAAAAACAAATAATACCAGAAAAATGTCCAGAATAGGACACAAATTTCTAGACTGAAAGTGCCTCTGGAAAGTAGAAATCAGGAGTGGGAAAGGGGAGTGCTGTTTTTCAAAGTCTTGCAGTGCTATCAGATTATTTATACTAGATATTTAGTAGAAAATAAAAGTAAATTAGAAACAAGTTAAACAAACAAGCAAAAGAATATTAAACTTTAAATGGACATCAAGACCCAGACCCAGAATATATACAAGGGAGAACCAGAAGGATAAAAGATCTAGAAAGCAATATCTATAAAGAGTTAAAAGACCTAATAATATTTAGCCTGTGGGAAAAAACCTTCTAGGAGCTTTATATTTACCTCACGAGGGGGTAAATTGTGCTGTGCTCAATGTGAAAAATAATTTTCTAACAATTAGAGTTTTCAAGATAAAGAACTACCTGTTGAGACCCTGAGTTCATGAATTGTTAAGGCAAATGCTGGCTAACCAATAAAAAAGGATGATTCTATGACATTAGAACATAAGGGACTATAAATCTGTCATTTTATACTATATAGCCACAGGTTGAAAATACAATCTTACTATGTTTTCAAAAATAAGTAGCTGAAATATGTGATATGTCTAAAATACTTTTTGTACCGTCACAGTCTGTCCTGGTTTCTGGATTAGACTCCTGTGTAGTCATTTTCTCAGGTTTTGATAAAAGATCTTTTGATGTGTTAAGAACATCCTTCTTTCTGTCAGAGGTGTCAATGTCCTTTAGCATACTACAAATAAAAAAACGTGAAACCAATCTTAGACTAGACAAAAGACATGTTTAATTTTTCCCTAAATATGACTGTTCAGACAAATAAGAGAAAATAGAAACATGTTTTCATATCTCCTCTATTTTAAAACCTCATTAGCTGGCCCTTAAAAATCTTCCATCTTCTTTTTTTTAAAAAAAAAAAGATGACTGGTAAGGGGATCTTAACCCTTGACTTGGTGTTGTCAGCACCATGCTCTCCAAAGTGAGCTAACGGGCCAGCCCTTATATAGGGATCCGAACCTGTAGCCTTGGTGTTATCAGCACCACACTCTCCCAAGTGAGCCACGGGCCGGCCCCTAAAATCTTCCATCTTCTTTTTTTTAAAAAAAAAAAGATGACTGGTAAGGGGATCTTAACCCTTGACTTGGTGTTGTCAGCACCATGCTCTCCAAAGTGAGCTAACTGGCCATCCCTTATATAGGGATCCGAACCTGTAGCCTTGGTGTTATCAGCACCACACTCTCCCAAGTGAGCCACGGGCCGGCCCCTAAAATCTTCCATCTTCTGATCCTAGGAGACTTTTTCAACTTTATCCCCAATCATGCCCTTTCAGTGACACCAGGATCCGGTTGCACTGCATCACTCACGTTCTTCAGGTGAGCCCTGCATTGTCTGTGTCAGGGATTTTGCCTCTGCTCCTCTCTCAGTCTGGAAAACCTGCCTTTCCAACCTCTTTTTACTGGAATCACACCTGCTTTTCTAGGGCTAGCCCAAAAGCATTACTTCTCTGTTTTCTCCAGCAAGTGATTATTAATGTCCCTCTCTCTCCCAAGATTCCAAAGCACTTTATCTGGACTTCTCTTATGCCAATATGTGTGTATGTGTGTATATCTGTATATGTAATGAACTCATACGGATTATACAAAAGTATATTAACATGCAAACATGGTCAGTCTGATTGATTAGGAAAAAACTTTAAAAGTAACAAAATAAATTAGTACTAAATGAGTGTTAAAGAGAGGATGCAGGGGAAATCCAAAGAAAGACAACATTTTCTGGAACTTGAGAAGGCTTCACCAAGGAGGTGGGATTTGAGCAAACCTTGAATCACAGGTATGGGGAAAGTGACACACTGTGAAGGAAAGATAAAGAAGACTATTTTATTTGTTTGATATCCAGGAATCAACTGTATTTTCCTAAAGCAGGATTCTGGAATATAATTTTTCTAACTAAATCAAAACAATGATGAATAACTCCTTTTATAGTGTTTTTTAAAATGATAACATATAATTAAATAAAATGGTCATATTATTAGCAATGCTACAAAGACTGTTGGTTTGACTCATTAGGCTCATTGGAGCTTAGCTTTATTGCAAGGGCATAAGTGAGGATAAAGCTAAAAAAGGTAATTTGGGGCCAGAAGAGGGAGAATTTTGAGGGCCAGCTTTGAGGGCCAGAGGTTGTAGAATAGAGGAGATATAAAAACATCTCTTTCTGTTTTATATTGTCTGACCATTCAATCTCTGAAATTCAGAGGTTAAAGCTGGCATTAAAAACAAACTAAATAAATGTAGCATAAAACTTAAGTGTGCACTGTACATAAAGTATCATTTGTGAAAATTCTATTTCAGTTTTATAATATATACAAATATGTATACTAGGTTGCAATGGAAAATATACAGAAAGAATCTATTTTGGAAATAACTATGTAAATAACCATTTTCCACTTGCTGAAAATTAAAGTATTATTTATTTATTTATTTATTTTTAAAAGATGACCGGTAAGGGGATCTTAACCCTTGACTTGGTGTTGTCAGCACCACGCTCAGCCAGCGAGCCAACCGGCCATCCCTATATGGCATCCGAACCCGGGGCCTTGGTGTTATCGGCACCGCACTCTCCCGAGTGAGCCACGGGCCGGCCCTGAAAATTAAAGTATTATTTATGGCATGACGACTCAAATAAATTACATAGCCATTAAGAGGAATAAAAACACATAGCAATATAGAAAATGTTTTTAAAATAATGTTAAGAGAAAAGAATCAATATAATATTATAGTTACATGTTGATTACAGCAATGCAAAACTCAAACACGTCTGTAGAGAAGGATCAAAATCAAATATGGACAAAGAAAATGGTTTGTTGGAACTGTGGAACTACTAGTATTTCTTCTCTTTTATTTGAATCCTTGTTAAAATGAACACAATACTATTTGTGCAATACACATTTTTAATAAACAAAGTAAAAAAGTCAGGCATTCAGCAAGGATTCAGTATGGCACAGGAGAAAGCACTATACTGGATCTCGCTCCACTGGCCATTAATTGTATCATTATGGGCTATTCCTTGCCTGGGCCTCAGCTGTTTAACCTGTTAAATGAGAATTCTGATTTAGATTCTAGACTCTATATAAACTTCTGCTTAGTTTTTTTAACTTTCTACAGCTCTGTCTGAATTTCTATCAAAAAGGAAAAAAGGAGAGGGGGAGCTCTTATAGTTTAGTTTTGTCATCAAATAGTAAACATGCTTCAACTTTTCCCACCCCTTCAAACATCCCAACACACCTGTTAAAACACAAACCAAGAGAAACTAAACTAGGTTATGCATACAAATCCTTCCTTCCTCCTTCTTTTCTTTCCTTCCCTCCCTAATTAAGGTAATATACTATAAAAATATTTCTAATCAAAATACCCATATACATTAAATAGCATAGTATATACTCCACCATTTTACTGTGATTTAGACTGGGGTCAGGATGGAGGTAACAATGACAATTAGTAATTTAAGCTATTGATGAACCATGTGGAGTATCTATTTTTCCCACAATACTACCAACGAACGACAATCATGTCAGAAATTTCCTAAAATTCATTGAACGACAAATTCAATGACCAATTCTATTATCAGATTAAAAAAAAAAAAAGGATATATTACATACTAATTCACTTCCCAAATAATGGATTAGCTTTATGTCATTTCAGGTTAAGGAGTTTGGAAATATAATATTTTTAGGAATATGAGCGTACTTCAAAAAGTTTGTGGAAAAATAGAATTAAAAGATAATATGAATCTTTCCATGAACTTTTCGAAGACCTCTTGTATATTCCTTATGTCAAAATCAACTACATAAAATTATTTGAAGCATCCATGCAATTAATCATAATGGGACTTGACATCTTTAAATCATACTAATCCTACTAATTTTAAAAATGTATGAGTATAAATAGGAATTTTGGATGTCTTCATGTGGATGTAAAATTAACTGTGCAGAAGCACAAAATACATTTATATAGAAATGGTACTTATAGCTAAATCAAATTATTATTTTTTATGATTTATTTTTTAATTTTTTGGTGGCTGGTCAGTATGGGTATCCAAACCCTTGACCTTTGTAAATCAAGTTATTTAAAGTATCCCAGAAACAAACAATGACGTTTACTAATTAATTAGCTAGTTTACCTAAAGCAGTTTAAAGAGGAAGAAGTGGCAGAAATAACTTCTTCTTCTGGAGAAGGTGGAACAAAATCTATATCATAATCATCATCAAGTTCAATATGTGGAACTTTCTCAGTTGAATCTAATTCAGCTCCTTCCAAATTTTTCTTCTTTTCATTATTATCTAAAGTAAAACAGTTGATAAAGATAGGTTATTTAAACAATTAATGAGACATAAAGAGCAGGGCAAAACCACATAAGAGTGCGTACTTTAGGCAAGTCATAAATAATCATTCCACTCTGTATACTAGTCTTCTCTCCTATATGTTAAAGTTGGCTTTTTTCTTCATGAATGATTATTGAGCCAACTGGATTAAGTCCAATGAACTAGACTGATGCCGAAGATTTGCTTAGGAATTTTCATCCCGTGTCCAGTTAAATTATGAAACCCATACTTAGTATCAGCATTTTCATTTTTCTACTTTTCACTCACATTTAAATAAGGGTAAAGTGTAACAAATAAATCTGATAACAGTACAAACACTATTGCTTGTACAGATAAACCATCTCTACCACAAAAGCTTTCTAGTTATTTAAATCTCTGTTGGACTATGCAGGAAAACATGATGCTAAATTTTTGCTGTCTAGGTTAACTTCTACCAAATTTTCTCTTCAGAAACAGCAACACAATTGATTAGACTATGGTTTTGCTTATTTACAATTACTTTTCAGTCCTCTCTCACCCTACAGTAACTAGAAACCAGAAACCAGGATGAGATTCGGGTGTTTAAAAATTTTAGTCTCACATTTATAACTATTCTATAAGGTGGGTTACTTACACATAAGGCTAGTCTCAGTTATTAAGTTTTGGACATCTAATAACTACAAAACCTATAAAGGAAATACTTGGAATGTATTTGTAATACTTTAATAGCATGATCATGATCATATTCTACGTTGGCCCTCCATATCTGCAGGTTTTGCATCCACAGATTCAAACAATCTTGGATTGAAAAGATTTGGAAAAAACAACAACAATAAAAAACAATACAAAAGACTAGTCAGTTTGCTCAGTTGGTTAGAGCACAGCCTTGTAACACCAAGGTCGTGGGTTTGGATTCTTGTACCAGCCAGCTGGCAAAAAAAAACCCCAAAACCCCCAAAATCCAATACAACAACAATAATACAAATAAAAAAATACAGTATAACACCTATTTAACATTGTATTAGGTAATGTAAGTAATCTAGAGATGATTTAAAGTATATGGGAGGATGTGGGTATGTTATACACAAATGCTATGCCATTTCATACAAGGAACTTGAGCATCAATGGATTTTGGTATCCTCGGAGGTCCTGGAACCAATCCCTCCATGGATATCGAGGGACAACGGTACATCAAGATTAGGTGGCACACTTAGCTCAGTTGGTTAGAGAGTAGTGTTATAACACCAAGGTCAAGGGTTTAGATCCCCACACTGGCCAGCCACCAAAAAATAAAATAAAAAAATTTAGGTGGCAGCAAGCCATAAAGGAAATATGGTAGAAAAGCTTAGTTTCGCTTTCTAATTCTACCACTAACCAGCCATTTTAACTTCTATGGATCCTATTTTCTTCATGTATAAAATCACAGAGCTATCGTTGGTGTTAATACAAAAATAATAGCAGAATAAAACTTTGTTTCATCAGTATGTCCTGCCTCAAGAATGTAGCCCAGATTATTCAATAAGCACCTATATATATCCTAAGATTCTTAAGGTTAAATGCTACATCACATTCACTACTGTTCTTAATGCCTAGCTTCGAATAGAAAGATACAATCAACATGCTGAAACGAAGATAAAATAATTTTTACCTCTTTCATTTTCCAAGTGAGTTTTCAAAGAGTGATTTTTCTGAGTATCTTCATTTATAAGCACTTCGGAAATGGAGCCATCATCAATGCAAATCACGTCACTACTTAACCATTCTGCGTCATCTTTCTGTTCCTTAGTCAAATCTACTTGCTTGCTTTCAGAGGAAGAAGGCGTCAAATCAGCCTTTACTGTATTTGTTTTATGAAGCTGTGCTTTTAAAAAGTTTCTCTTAGCTTTTCTTGATTTCTGAGCAGTGCTTACTCTTACAAAGTGATTTTTGGATGGTGTAACAAATGCTTTTGAAGTCCCAGAAGTATCAAAGTCATCCATATCGTCCCAAATACTGATAGCACTGAAAGAATCTGGTGAAGAACTAAATTCTAATTTCTTGAAAGCATCATCACGGGGTTTCTTTATAACTGGTGTGTTTTGGGAAATACATAAAACTTCCTGCGGAATTGGCAACAAACCTGGCAACAATGGTTTTGAACCAAGTCTCCTGGTTTGCTCTCCTGCTGGAGCATTTTTAGAGAAGTCACTGATCCTTGTCTGCTGATCTGGGGTGTGGTAGGGAAGAGGTTCACTGAAGGAAAAAGCCTCGGTAACATTAACATCTTTATCACTTAACACAGGTGTTTTTGCTACTGTCACACTAGTTACAGATACATCATTGTCTGAAGATGTTTTCTTTTTAAAGGTGAAACCTCTGAAAAACAATGGAAAAACTCAATTACACGGATTCATTTTAACAAACCCAGCAACTCTACAAAACAAAACTCTAAATTTTGGACTAATTCATATGACAAGTTACATTAACTGTATCACAAATGAACAAAGAATCCATCTCCCTCTCTGATTTTAAAATTTATCATGTAACTTAAATTATATTTCGTATGTTCTGATCCTTCCCATTCAGAGTCTAATTATTTAGTTTTTTTTTTTTTTCCTTTTTGTCTTTTTTCGTGTCCGGCAACGGATCGCAACCCTCAGTGTCGCGCCCGGACCGGACCGGCAACGGGATTGCAACCCTCGGTGTTGCGCCCGCACCTCGCCCAGCCAGTGAGCGGGAACCCGTCTGTATGTGGGATCCGAACCCTCGGCGGGAGCACTGTACTGTAGCAGTGCGCCACCGGGCCGGCCCTAATTATTTAGTTTTGAGAGTACCCAGGCCATTAGTCCTTAATTAATAGCACCTTCAGAGGAAAGCCACAGCATTAGTGAAAAAAAAGAGACAAATGTGGCTATTTTTTGCTACTCTGATAAAAATTTAAAGGGGAAAAGAGTTAAAAACTGAGATCTGAAGGACAAGAAAAGGAGGCAGGCGTCCTGGTGATCTGCTGCATTTAATGACATGAAGGTCAGTGGTAACTTTGAAGTCAAGCACCCAGAACAGTGTCTGCAACCTGGTAAGGGTACAATATGTAATATAAATTACTATTAGATATCATTAGAAGGTATTTGGAATGTAGCTTGGAGAAGAGGGCAAAACTGGAGAGCTGCTGTTGTCCTTGTTTGTTTTTGGAAAGGATATAAAATTATATTAAAATATTAAAAATATCTATTTGCCCAAATTTATGAGTCATTATTTATTTATTCAGTAAATATTTGGCAAGTAGTATGTACCAGGAACTGTGCAAACATGCTCACCATTTATTACATGGTGATACTAAAACATGTTCTATCACTAATTTGCATAGTGGGAAAATCATTGAACCTCTCAGCTTCATTTCCTCATCTGTACAACGAAAGAATTGCAAGAGAAGGTATTTCACTTGTATGATACAGTGATTTAGTGCAGATATGACAGCATACCAACCAAAATACTTACGAAGATTTTGGTTTTGAAAGACTTAATTTATTATTAAGTTTTCTGGCTGAGTGACGCTCCAGTTGCTCCTGTAGATTATTGTGAGGAATAGTAGCCATGATCCTAAAAAGTAAGGGAAAAAGTATCGGTAGAGTTAGGTACTTTGCATTAATCACAATATTTATTGAAGGGGGAACTTGATTCAAACAGGCATTGTTACAACTGTGTCCAGAGTAATATGACTTTTTTTTTTTTTGGTCAACAGATTGTTTTGACATTTACAACTGGTGACATTTGAAATGTATAATCTTTAACTAACTGAAGGCTCACCTGAATAACAAAATGACCTGGTTTCCCACCTCTTCCTCCACACACAGTAAAATAAGCACAAAAGACATTAGGGAAGGGATTATTAGGAAAGGACTTGCAGAAAAATAGGACCTGGCCTAGGCTTGAAGGATAAATGGAAGCCGGACAGGGAGTGAGGTGGGAGGAAATGACCAAAGTATACTGAAAGTCCAAAGAACAAATGAATAACTGAATTCTCTTGCCAACAGTAAAATCTTTCCAACAGGAAAGAAGGAAACCACCACCAATGAGAGCAAAGGTTTACCAGCAAGATACCATGCTTCATAATCATTTAGTTTCAACCTAAAAGAATACTTTTATTTTTTTTTATTTTTTTGTCTTTTTGTCTTTTTTTCCGTGTCCGGCAATGGATCGCAACCCTCAGTGTTGCCCCCGTACCGGACCGGGGACCGGCGACGGGATCGCAAGCCTCGGCGTTGCTCCCGCGCCTCGCTCAGCCAGTGAGCGGGAGCCGGTCTGTACGTGGGATCCGAACCCTCGGGCGGGAGCACCGCCGCGCTTCCCAAGCGGCGCACTATCCAGTGCGCCACCGGGCCGGCCCTAAAAGAATACTTTTACCAAGCACATTTATATCCCTTGTGCAACAAATTGTGATACTGCTGGGCTATTGCCCAGGATAACGCATAGGTTAAGCCACCTAAAATTACTGGTGCTAAAGGAAAATAACTAATCTATGGTTAGAAAAAAATTCTCATTTTAGCTGGCAGTTATAATCACCTTTCCTACTCTGTCTTTACCAAAGATCTACTTATACTTATTCCATATATGTTAGGAGGAGGGGTTAACAACACTAGATATTTGTGGAAATATAAAGTTTTACATAAATTGTGTTCACTCATTAATTATTAAAATAATCTATGTTTATCAACTGTTTTACTTTAGATAATAGTGAAAAAAAAGAAATTATATGGAAAAAACTGAATTGCACTCAATTGAGAAATCTTCATATGCTGAGTTTGATGAGGATTACGATATAGGTTTTGTACCACTTTCTCCAGAAGAAGAAATTATTTCTGCCACTTCCACCTTTTTTTTTTTTTTCCTTTTTGTCTTTTTTCGTGTCCGGCAACGGATCGCAACCCTCAGTGTCGCGCCCGTACCGGACCGGGACCGGCAACGGGATCGTAACCCTCGGTGTTGCGCCCGCACCTCGCTCAGCCAGTGAGCGGGAACCGGTCTGTATGTGGGATCTGAACCCTCGGCGGGAGCACCACCGCGCTCCCAAGCGGCACACTGTAGCAGTGCGCCACCGGGCCGGCCCACACTTCCACCTTTTAAAAATGCTTTAGGCAAAACAGCTAACTATCTTATAAACACTGAATAGTTGTTCCCCCCCAAAAAAAGTAGACAGAAGGGTATAATGAACCCCTACATACCTATCACCCAGATTCATCAATTGTCAACTCATCCAATACTGTTTCGTCTATATACACATGCCCTGAGGTCCTCACTCTACCATTCTGAAAGTCACCTCCCAAAATGGTGATATTTAAATTCTGTCATTCCTTCTTCATTCATTAGCTGGAATACTTTTATCTGTTTCAAAATAATTAGTTCATTCTCTAACTACCTCCAAATAGTGACCTTTTTTTTTCAGTATCATTATAAGCTCATGGATTAAATATACTAGTTATGTTTCAATCCAATACAGTTATCATCCTCATTGATTCTCAAATTGTTTTATGTTTGGCCAGTGGTAGCCTTTTTAGGTGGACTCTTCAGTCCTTATGATATAATCTTAGTAAGTCTTTGAGAGCTTTCTTAGTATGTGTATAAAAGGATGTTCCAGGCTTATCTTGTTGCATTTTTTTTTGCCCCTTGGACTTGGAATCAGCCATTTGCCCAAGCAGCCTTGATTCTTTATAATGGAAAATATAAGGGTACTTCAAAAAGTTAGTGCAAAAATTGCGTTAAAAGATGATACTATTCCTTCCATGAACTTTTTGAAGTACCCTCATATTTTAAGATCACAATCCCTGCATGTCCTAAGGCTCCTCTTCTTTTTGAATCCAGTTTTTTAAAGTATTGGCCTTTTATTAAGTGTGCTCTCTCCAAGGTCCTGTCCAATGTGGAAGTCCTTCCCAGCATAAATGTTAAAGAGTGAAGTCAGATTACTGCTCTCTCAGAATTTCAACCTCAACCAAGTAGAGTGCTGACAAGAAGATAGAGGTACACAAACCTTCAGCCTTAAGATGCTAAGAAGAACAAAATTGTTCCTGGCATCATTACTTATCCTTTTCCCACATTCCTTCCATATCTTATTTATTTTTGGATCAAAACCAGCCATGGTATTCCAACAACAGAGATTTCTTATATTATCCCACAGAATGACTTTATATGTATATTTAGCCATCCCACTAGTACAATTATTTAACTATTTCATACCTGGAGGGACACATTATGGATTCACAGCTAGCAAGTAGTCAACCTTAACCCTGGGGGCATTTTTTCCTACTTTTAAAATGTACTATTCTTTGGCTGTTCTTCAGAGAGTAGCACCCTCCAGCCAGACTCATATTCCAAAGCATGGTAGCAAGCACACAATTTTATTACTCAAAATCCTTCAGTGGGAATGCTTTTAAGAAGTTGGTCAGTACTGAGAAGGAACAGGGTGTCTCTTCTGTACATATTCCATTAAAATAGCAATAAAATTGACACACAAAAAAATTGTTCACCAACAATAGCAAAGATAAGTGATAAAACTAAAGGAGGAAAATTAACTGAAAAATAAATTGAGAGCAGTGAAAAGTTTCATAATACTAAGAAAAGGAACAAAGCAATGAGAACCCAGAAACTTAAAAAGTAAAATAAAACAAATAAACTTATGAATTAGATTCACCATAAGAATCACATCTACAGACTGATCGATTAGCTCAGTTAGTCAGAGCATGGCCTTGTAACACCAACATCAAGGGTTTGGTCTCCCGTACTGTCCAGCCACCAAGAAGAAAAAGAGAATTGCAAATACAATTTGGAAAGTGATTAAAATTTTCTCTTACATATACGAAAGAACTTATTATGCCATTGTAAAAAATATATAAATAAGCACAAAGCTGATTCAAGAGTAAAAAAATGTAATAGCAAGGTCAAGGGCTCGGATCCTCATAACGGCCAGCTGCCAAAAAAACAAAAAAGAAAGAGTACAGAGAGAGATTGGACAAGGGGCATAAAGAATAACTACGATTTGTAACAATAAAAAAGAAAAGAAAGAGTACAAAAAATGTAATGAGTAAAACAAAATAAACTAGAAAACCATTTCAAAAATGGTATGAAAGAATGATAATCCAGAGCTGGAATGCAAGAGACTTCTTGAAGTAGTAAAAGAAACCAATGGCAAAGAATAAATGACTATCCAAACAGTGCATTGAACTAATAAAAAGAATTTAGGCTGATAACATCAAGATCAAAGGTTTGGACTCCTGTAACAGCCAGCCGCAAACAAAACAAAACAAAAAAAAGTATGTAAGCCAGAAATTGAGTAGTGATTTAACAACCAGATTATGACATTAGTAAGTAGTCTTATGAAATTAAACTAAAAGGAAAAAAAATTTAAATCCTACAAGTAGCTAAGCAAGAAAATATCACATTTACAGTAACAAACAGAAATTTTGAGACTACTTCTGAGAAATAAGATGTTATAAAATTCTAAGGGTAACAGTTCCAGGCAACTTTCATTCACATATGACAAGAGAAATATCTTTATGAAGTTTTTTTTTTTTTTTTTTTTTTTTTTTGTCTTTTGTCTTTTTCCGTGTCCGGCAACGGATCGCAACCCTCAGTGTCGCCCCCGCACCGGACCGGGGACCGGCAACGGGATCGCAACCCTCGGTGTTGCCCCCGCGCCTCGCTCAGCCAGTGAGTGGGAACCGGTCTGTATGTGGGATCCGAACCCTCGGGCGGGAGCGCCGCCGCGCTTCCCAAGCGGCGCACTTATCCAGTGCGCCACCGGGCCGGCCCCGATTTATGAAGTTTTAAAGTCACAGAAAATATAAGCTTCAAACCTCACCTTTAAACCTGGCTATTAAGAATTGTTCAAATAGCAACAGAAACATTAAAAATAAAAAACTCTGGGGCCGGCCCGGTGGCGCACTGGATAAGTGTGCCACTTGTGAAGCGTGGTGGCGCTCCGGCCTGAGGGTTCGGATCCCACATACAGACCGGTTCCCGCTCACTGGCTGAGCGAGGTGCGGGAGCAACACCAGGGGTTGCAATCCCGTTGCCGGTCCCCGGTCCGGTACGGGGGCAAAACTGAGGGTTGCGATCCGTTGCCGGACACGGAAAAAGACAAAAAGACAAAAAAAATAAAAAAAATAAAAAAATAAAAAACTTTAGTGGGAGGAATTGATGATCTGAGTTAATGAGGTCTATTAAACACATCCTAAGAATACTAATGGGAAAAGAATTATTGCTAGGAAATAGATAATTATTACAACAAAAATAAAATACAAAAAACCTTTAAAAAATAGACATAAATTGGAGAAAACAAAGTTTAAAAAAAGGCAGAATTCCTTTCAAAAAAATGAGACTAACGTTACTGTTTGGGGACCTATCAAAATAAGAACTACCTTTCCTTTCTAGGTCAAATCTTCCTTTTACTCTTTTTGGTGTCAAAAGACGGCTATTTCAGGATATCAAGTGACAGACTGCCAAAAAGACTACTCTAAGACATTCATTGCTAAGTAACATTCAGATGTTTCTGCTCCCAGTCTTCTGCTAAAAATGGAGGTTTTAGGGGGTGGCTCCCGAATAACACA